GATCAGAGCAGCCTCCCTGGCACCACATGCACTTAGCAAAGGCATCTTCTAGTCCAAGGATCGCTGCCTGCTCAGCCAGCACGCAGTTGCCAGGAGCCACCCTCTCCTTCTCCAGCTTCCCCTGGGTCTTGGCAAGCAAACAGTTAGTGGCCACCCGGCAAGCTACTTAGGGCTCGTGCCATTTTGAAACATAAAGACCTTTTTTCCTATCTTGACACCCTCTCTTTTATTTTTTAAAATCTTTTAAATTAATTCTTCTTGGAGTATGGTTGATTTACAATGTTGTGTTAGTTTCAGGCATACTGTAAAGTATATATATATATCCACTCTTTTAGTTTCTTTTCCCATATAGGTCAATATAGAGTATTCAGTAGAGTTCTCTGCGCTACACAGCAGGTTCTTACTAGTTATTTATTTTTATATATGCACATGTGCTAAGTCACTTCAGTTATGTTCGACTCTTTGCAACCCCATGGACTGTAGCCCACCAGGCTCCTCTGTCCATGGGATTCTCCAGGCAAGAACACTAGAGTGGGTTGTCATGCCCATTTCCAGGGGATCTTTCAGGCCAAGAGATCAAACCCATGTCTCTTACATCTCCTGGACTGGCAGGCAAGTTCTTTCCTACTGGTGCCACCTGGGAAGCCCCATTTTTATATGTAGTAGTGTGTATATGTCAATCTCAAACTCCCAGTTTATCCCTCCCTGCTTCCCCTTTAGAAACCATGAGAAAAATATGGAGTGCTTCACAAATTTGCATATCATCCTTGAGCAGGGGCCATACTTATCTTCTCAGTATTGTTCCAACTTTAGTATATGTGCTGCTGAAGTGAGCACCACCCTCTCTTTTTTAATCCACAATTGCTATTATCTTCCTTTTACTTCTCCAGAATTAACTTCAAAATCTACATGTTTTGCTTGGCTATCCTGTTATTTAGCCCTGTTGGTTTATTATTTAGATAAAAACATTCATCCTGAAACACAGGAATAAGAAAAGTGCAAGTGTGCTTACCTGGTGTATCAAATAAAACTCACCCAATTAATTCAGTCATTTGGCATAAAGGAGGCTCCTATCTCCTCCAGTTTTTCAGTCTCTCTAGGATGCTAATTGTTTTTCTTTTGATAGTCTTATAATTTTGGCCTGAAGTCTAAAATCTGGCCTGCTGGGCTATGTGTCAAATTTGTAAATTAGATGACATCTGTTTTGAATTTTAACCATCTTTAATTTTCTTTCAAGCTCTCTCTTCCCTTATTCATTTCCCCTTCAGTTGTAAGGGTCAGACTTTGCTAGATGCTTTAGACAAAAGTGTGGATCTCTCCGCTTTGTGGGGCACAGATTAAAATTACTGACGCTAAATGGTCACAATGAAGGCTATTCAGAGAAGAGATGTTGGGAGAGGAGCCTTGGCAACCATCCCAGAGAGGATGAGCAGCTAATACAAAAAGGGGGCAGTCCACACCAGTCTTTTTGAGGTTCCCACCAAATACTTATAATTGATCAGAAGGAGACTGATGGAGAAGGTTGAAATGAATGAAGTATTCTGAATTGAGGGAGAGGCTGAGGTGGCGATGGTGGTGGCAGTATTTGAAGGGCATGGTGACCTTTTATCTCTTAGCATTTTTTTTTCTCTCTTTTCCCTAGAAAAATAATAAAGGGAGGAGAAATGAATTTTTCTAATGCAGACCCATATTTGGACAGTGAGACTCCCTTTTTTTCTCCTATCTACATCTCTCTTAAATTATTCTTTTCATGAGGAAGTTGTCTATTGCTAATTGGATTGGGCCTACTTTATTAAGAACCATTTTTCCTGCTGGAATGCCTTAATGTAATACCCTGTATAACAAGTTTTTTCTTTATATAAACCCTTTTCACACATATAATCTCACAGAGAGTCAACTGGCCTCTTGTAACTTTGCATGTGTAGAGGCAAGAAAGAATGGACAGACTGTTGGTCAGAATACATGTCTGAGCTTTTATGTCTGATGCACATGCCAGTCACCATTGGAAGAAACGAGTAGGTTAGCTGTGCAAAGAATATAAAGTGGCTCCCCCAAACCCCAGCTGTAGAAGCTCTAAACTGAATTCTGAAACCACACCATGAAAATTAACTAACAGTGGCTCTGCTTACATACAGATGACAAATCATCCCTTCGTGATGCTGGCTTTGGGTTTCTTGGATGTTGCCATGTGTAGGCTGTTGCTAGGTGTAAATGCTGTTTTTAAAATGGAATATGTAGATAGCAGTGGTTTTCAACTGGGGGTGATTTCTGTCTCTAAGGGGACATTTAGCAATGTCTGAAGACATTCTTGGTTAGTACAACTGAGTGGGAGGTTTGCCACTAGCCTCTGGTGTAGAGAGGCCGGGGAAGTGGTAAGTATTTCTAGAGTGCACAGGATAGCTCCACAACTAAGAATTAACCAAATGTCAATAACACCAAAATGAGAAATCCTGGTATTACAGACATCTGTACTAGATGTGGAACCAGGCAACAATAGATTTTAATTTTAATTTTAATCAAAAGTATGGTGTTGAGAGAAAAGGGCACTAGCTACCTGTCTTCCTTGAATGGACAGCTACTGTTGAGATGACCATCTTGGCCAGAAAATATTCTCTGTGTGGAATGAGCAAAGAGGTGCTTCATATGGGCTCCCCTCCAGCTCTGTCTTTTCTTGGTTATCAGCATGCTTTTCCGTGTGCATGTGGTCACTCACACTAGACATCTCTGGGTTTTCATTCACTCTTCTCCCCTTCTCCTCAGCCCACCTCTCACCAGTAATTGACTCTTTCTAGTTCCAAGCTGTCTCAACATGGAGGGAGCTGACTGCTAAGACTCCAAGAGTAGCATCCTGGTCACCCTCTCTCTTGCCAGCCAAATCCATTCAGGGCTCCACTGTGTCAGCCACTTCCTCACCCATCTAGTAGTCCTTTAGTGCAGAAATATTGAAAGCCCACTATCTGCTAATTACCGTGTTAGAAGCAGTGTTCATTCTCTGGGTAAAAGTCTTTCCAAGTCACCATGTTGCTTACAGAACAAACTCCTTGCTTCTCTGTGAATATGCCTCTGACCTAACTTTCCAGTTTACTCTCCTGCCCTCCACTGATGTATTCACTCCAGTCACATTGAACCAATTGCTTTGCCTCAGTCTGGGTCACACACTCTTAAGCTCTTTTATCTTTGCAAGTGAGGAGTGTCCTTTATATTTGGAGTGCCCTTTCAACCCTTATTTGGGGAACTTTCATTCATCCTGTGCAACATGATCTGGTACCTATGCAGATGCCTGGCTCATGGAAGCTACTCAACAAATATGGAATGAATTTAAATTTCATCTTCTTTGTGAAACTTTCTTCATTTCCCTGGCTGTATGTCTCTCTTGCGCCACAGCCTGCTATACCCACTTCCACTAACCCCTCACACACACTGAGTGTGAACCTTTGAGGAATGATGTCTCTCGTCTTAGGTCTTGTTCTGTGTCTCTTGGGACCTTCAGGCTCTGTGCCATGCTGGACATAAAGTGGATCCTTGTGACTAAATCTTCACTATTTCGTGAGGTTGGCTTCTGTGTTTCTGGAATGCTATTTCAGACTGAAAATGATATGCATCATTTGTTAACCCCCCAAGCTCACAATATCTGATGCTAGTCTTAAATGTGTCCTGCCCCTTCTCCAGAACTGAAAACCTTCCAATGCATAGGATCTGAAATTTTAGTCCATCTTTTATCATTTAGTTACTGTGTAACTTTGGGAAGAGATTTAACCAGTCTCTGAGCCTTTGTTTCTTCCTCTATAAAATAGGAATAATGATAATTGCCCTTCTCAACTTATAGAGTGATCATGAGGATCAGATGAAATGATGAATTTGAATGAATTTTGTAACTCCTATGGTCATAAAACTTTCCAAGTGTCTCTCTATTCAAAATGTGACAAATATAATAAAACACCTCTCTCAATCTGGCATGGTCTAGACTTCTTGAAAGGACCGGATTTATCATATCCACTCTCTTCCTTCAACCCCAGGCATCCTATTTTATGCCCATCCATACCACTGGCAGATCACTCACTACAGTCATCAGTAATTTTTAAATTGCCAGTACCTGTGGACACTTTTCTGTTCTTCCTTCATTTGACCTGAAGTCCAGTCTGCCTCTGCCTGAGATGTTCTCTGCATTGGGGCCAGAGCAAGCTTCCTGAAACATGGATTCTGATCATATCCTAATATGTAAAAATCCTACCATGACTCCTCACAGCCTCCAGGATAAAATTTAAACTCCTTAAGAAGGTTTGTCATGTCCTGCACCATCTGGTCCTTGCCTATTACTTCATCAGTATTACCTAATATTGATGCTAGCCAGACAGAATGACTTCTGTTTTCAGAAAGTGTTGTGTTCTTCCACATACTGCCCCAAAGCCAGCTTGGTGTAATCTGGTCATCTTTCAAGACTTGGTTCCATATGTCACCTCATCTGGGAAGCATTCCCTGATTTCAGCTTCCCATTCTTCCCCATTCCATGCAGAAGTAGGTACCCCAATCTGTGTTCCCCAAACTCCTTGACACAATCATAATTGGCATAATCTTCCCACTATACTATAATTACCCACTTATTATTTACCAATCTCTGGACAATGAGCTCTTTGGATAAAAGAATATGTTTTATCTCTCTATATGTCTAGCCATTGGCAGAATTCCTGGCATACAGTAAGTAAATGATTTAAATGTTTGTTGAATAAATAAATTCTATAAACATTATTATTTGTACTACATTCTTATTTCTTTACTGTATTTTCTGCACTTTAAAAAATTGTTTTGGTTACATTCTGGTTTTTACAGATTTATAAAAATTCTGGCAAGTGTCATAATTTATTCAGAAGTTACTCTATGTTGAGATAGTGAGTTTGGCTTTCTTTGGGAACTTTGATGCCTACAAAAGAAAGCATAGCCTTTGGTGCTATGCCTCCATGGGTTTGCAGCAGATCCTAAGGTCCCCAGGAATTCCTGCTCACCTGTCATTTCTGGCCTTGGTGGTTTCCAGTTGTCGGGTAAGGAGCGTGGAAATGGCAGTGAAGCTGTTGCTCATGCAGAAGATGTCTCTGCTCTGCGGGCCCAGGATGGAGGAGAAGGTGTCCGTGATGCTCTTGATCTCCAGCAGGAGAATATGATGAAACGAGTGCTCCATGCTGGCCAGCTGACTCACCAGGAATGGCAGGCAGCTCCTGGCTCTCTCCTGCAAGAACAATGGAGAACGCATACAATTGCTGGTGGGGATGAAAATGGGTGCAGACACCAAGGAAAACAATATGGCTGTTCCTCCAAAAATAGAACTACCCTATGATCTACTAATCCCACTTGTGGGAATCCATACGAAGGAAACAAAATCATTATCTCAAAGAGATACCTGCACAGCTGTGTTCCAGAAGCATCACTTGCAACAGCCAAGACAGGGAAGCAACCTGAGTGTCCACTGACAGATGAATGGGTGAAGACAATATGGCACACAAGCATGGAATGAAGAATTATTCAGCCACGAAAAAGAAGGAAATCCCACCATCTGTGACAACATAGATGAATCTGGAGGGCATTATGCCAAGTGAAACAAGTCAGACAGAGAAAAGACAATTACTTACTGATATCTCTTATATATAGAATCTTTAAAAAAAAAAAAAGTCAAACTCATAGAAACAAGAGACCAGAAAAATGGTTGCCAAGGGCTAGTGGGTGGGGGAAATAAGTAAAAGTTGGTAAGCGGTACAAACTTTCAGTTATAAGATGAATATGGGTTTGAGAGGTTAATGCATAACATGGTGACCACAGTTGCTAACATGGTATCATGGAACTGAAGTTTGCTAAAATATATGGGATAATGGATTGGCTAGTTAAATTGATGAGAGGAATCCTTTGATATATGTATATGTATATCAAATCATCCTGCTGTACACTTTAAATATCTTATAATTTTACTTGTTGATCATACCTTAATAAAACTGGCAGGGGGTGGGAGGGAGTGGAGAATAATGAAGAACTAAGGCCTTGGAAGGAAAGTTATGACCAACCTAGATAGCATGTTAAAAAGCAGAGACATTACTTTGTCAACAAAGGTCCATCTAGTCAAGGCTATGGTTTTTCCAGTGGCCATGTATGGATGTGAGAGTTGGACTGTGAAGAAAGCTGAGCACCAAAGAATTGATGCTTTTGAACTGTGGTGTTGGAGAAGACTCTTGAGAGTCCCCTGCACTGCAAGGAGATCCAACCAGTCCATCCTAAAGGAGATGAGTCCTAGGTGTTATTGGAAGTACTGATGCTGAAGCTGAAACTCCAATACTTTGGCCACCTCATGCGAAGAGTTGACTCACTGGAAAAGACCCTGATGCTGGGAGGGATTGGGGACAGGAGGAGAAGGGGACAACAGAGGATGAGATGGCTGGATGGCATCACCGACTCGATGGACATGAGTTTGGGTGGACTCCGGGAGTTGGTGATGGACAGGGAGGCCTGGCGTGCTGCGATTCATGGGGTCACAAAGAGTCGGACATGATTGAGCAACTGAACTGAACTGAACTGAAGGCCTGTATTTTAAAAGAAAGTCAGAGTCCCATGACCTGCAGATGACAGTTCTATGCGGAGTATACTTACAGAGCTAGCTGAAGCTAACAATGTTTCATTTATGATGCCTCTGAATTGGCTTTTTCGAGGTTTTAGTTTTTTCCTGATTCTCAGGACATTTTAAAAAATTTTTCCTGTCACTCCCTTATTAAGAATATGTAGTCTCATGAACCTACCTTGCCATGTCCAAATCTCTCAACCACTGCTAATGATCTGACCTCACACATCCACCCTTCCAGACTATAGTTCTTCCTGGGGCCAAGGTTCCACGCCAGCGACTCACTAGCTCCCCAAGGACACGGGAGGCCTGATCAGTGCACCCTCCATCCATCCACCTGTCAGATGATGCCATGTACTATACTGGTTTACCTCTTCTCCACAGGATATCTTCAGTCATCTATTCACTTTAAGCATGTGTCAGGATGTTACAGATTTATGTGCCTGGTTGAATGAGTAGATTCTATTAGTTAGCTTTAATCAAGTTAACTCTCACAATTGACTTAAATAGATTCCTTCAAAGAAACTGATGATGAAAGAATATGAATAACTTAGGTATGAATGAATAAGAAAATAAGAATTAGCTGACAGGTCTCCTATACCTAGGAGAACTCATCAGGCATATTATGGGCTGATAGGTTTTAATCCAACATGACTGGAAGAGAGCCATAAAAATTGAAAATTATCTAGAAGTTTATTTGAAATGTAGATTTGTGCCCAATATAAACCATCAATAATTTAAAATATGTTTATTTCATCTTTAACTGCTCTTTTAAAATCTTTTTTTTTTACTTTTAAAAAAATCAATTTATTTTTTAACTGAAGGATAATTGCTTTATAGAAATTTGCTGTTTTCTGTCAAACAGCAACATGAATCAGCCATAGGTATACACATGTCCCTCCCTCTTGAACCTTCCTCCCATCTCCCTCCCCATCCCATCCTTTGTGTACTTAAAAATTTTTATAATGGTAGTATAATAGAATATATGTATAATTATAAACAAATACATGTCAGAGATTGATGCTCAAAATCCTTTTAAGTGGTAGGTGTACAGGTCTTAATTAACTCTTCCAGCTAGGAAGGAATTTCCCTGTTTCCTTTGTTACAGCATTTTGAGCCTTCATTTCTTTCAAGATGTAACTCCTGTCTCCTTCATGAAGCCATCTCCAGTGACCTCTTGTGTCTGAATTTTCATTGTATTACAAACTCTTTTTCAAAAATCTTAATGGGCTTCCCTGATAGCTCAGTTGGTAAAGAATTCACCTGCAATGCGGGAGACCTGGGTTCGATCCCCGGGTTGGGAAGATCCCCTGGAGAAGGGAAAGGCTACCCACTCCAGTATTCTGGCCTAGAGAATTCCATGGGCTGTATAGTCCATGGGGTCTCAAAGAGTTGAACATGACTGAGTGACTTTCACTTTCACTTTAATACTTGATTGCATTTGATAGTTTTGTTTACTCATGATTTTTTTTCCATCACTAGATCAGTACTGCAAGTCTATAATATGCCTGTGCTAGACTTGAATCTGTCCAAGCCTTGTGCTCTGTTAACGAGCACAGGTTTAATTCTTACCATTACCCTAGGACACGACTGAAGCGACTTTGCATGCGTGCATGCATTGGAGAAGGAAATGGCAACCCACTCCAGTGTTCTTGCCTGGAGAATCCCATGGACAGAGGAGCCTGGCGGGCTACAGTCCCTGGGGTCGCAAAGAGTCAGACACGACTGAAGCCTCTGAGCATGCATGCAGACACTAGGTGGCAAAGGAGATGAGAAGCAGCCTCTGCCTTTAAGGGACCCACAGTCCCCCCGTCCATGTATAACTTCCTAATGGTTAAATGTACCACTCGAGTCTCCTAAAGGTGCCACTTCTCATACATCAATCAACCTGGCACAGAACTGGCACAGAACGGAGCCTGTAGCATCTCCACTCTGGGTACGTCTCAATTCACTGATTTAAGTAAACCTTGTACGGCAAGACATGTACGCGTGTGTGCGTTAGTCACTCAGTCATGTCTGACTCTTTGCAACCCCATGGACTGTAGCCGACCAGGCTTCTCTGTCCATGGAATTCTCCAGTCAAGAATACTGGAGTGGGTAGCCATTCCCTTTTCCAGAGTATCTTCCTGATCCAGGGATTGAACCCTGGTCTCCTGTATTGCAGGCAGATTCTTCACTGTTTGAGCCCCCAGGGGAGCTCTAAATGCCAAGATACGACTTTACAAAGAAAGTACGTGTTTGCAAAGGCATTCTGTGCTTTACAAGAAATACTTAGTACAGAACAGATTTCAGTAGTGAATATCCCTAATTTTTAGTATTTAACTTGGTTTTCAAAGATTCCATGTATAATTACATTGGAACACATCTCTTGGGGAAGGAGGTACTTGCCAATCAACTCCTTAACAACTATTTGTTAAGAACCTCTTTTAGTTGGTCAGTCATGTCTGACTCTTTGCAACCCCACAGACTGTGGCTCACCAGGCTGCTCTGTCTATGGATTTCCCAGGCAGGAACACTGGAGTGGGTTGCCATTCCCTTCTCCAGGGGATCTTCCCAACCCAGGGACTGATCCCAGTTCTCCTGCACTGAAGGCAGATTTTTTTTTTTTAATATTTATTTATTTTGCTGCTCTGGGTATTAGTTGCAGCACGTGTGATCTAGTCCCCTGACCAGGGATTAAACCCAGGCCCCCTGAATTGGGAGTGCACAGCCTTATTCACTGGACCACCAGGAAGTCCTGCAGGCAGATTCTTTAGTGTTTGAGCTGCAAGGGAAGCCCTAGGGCACAGTCTCTGTGGGACTCAGACACACTTCTGTGAGCTGGAGAGCTAACCGAAGAGGTATGTACTCACTGAAGGATAACAGTATTAGATGAATGAAAAAGGAACACCATTGGAACAAGCTCCTGAGAGCCTATTTTATACTTTGGCTCATGAAATTGCTAGGTTACAAAGGGAAATTTAAGTACTCTTTTTTTCTATTTTTCTAGTACTCTATTTTTCTAGTCTACTATTTTTTTCAATATAGATGCTTTCATTCCTGCAAGGGTTCTGTATGTGAATTCATGGTGTGTGATTCATCACAGGGATGTTTTCCCTTCCTCATTTAAAGACAAAAGCATGAGACAAGTGCTCAGGCCTGGTGCACTGGGAAGACCCAGAGGAATCGGGTGGAGAGGGAGGTGGGAGGGGGGATCGGGATGGGGAGTACATGGCTGATTCATGTCAATGTATGACAAAAACCACTATAATATTGTAAAGTAATTAGCCTCCAACTAATAAAAATAAATGAAAAAAATAAATAAAGACAAAAGCTGGATGTTGGGGTCCACACCATGTACCAGACACTGTTTTAGAAACTAGGAACACAGCACTGAAGAAAAAACAGTAAAAGCCTTTACCACAATAATGAGGCAGATAAACAAGATACATGTGTAAAATACAGTGTGTGTTGGATGCAGAAATGTGCCTCAAAGGAAAAAAGAACAGAACGGGGAGACCCAGGGAGGGGAGTTCATGTCAAACAGTAGAGTCAGGTCAGATTTCATAGAGAATACAATGTGTGAATTCTACAGGTTTTAAGATCTAAACGCAACATTCTCAATAGCCACAGAAAACAATTACAGT